TATTTCAGACGCCTAATTGATTTGGGTTAGCTCAACCTCATCATCGGTGCTGTATCAATCACTGTAACAAATTAAACTGCAATTCAATGAAAAAAGCTTCCTCCATCACGGGTCAATTTCCTAAAGACTCTGCACCGAAGCTGATCGCAAATGCAAGCTGTCATTTTTAGCTCATGTTGGTTTTATGGAAGTTGGCCAGATAATGCTATACACAACGTAACATTTTTCGATCTCTAACCTATTGTACTGGCAATTGAATTATGGGTGAGCTTATGTCAAACCAGGCAATTTTGTTTCTGGCAGACAATGCTGCAGTGGTACACATAGTAAACCAACAATCAAGTAGGGAAAAGAACATTATGAGTCTTGTTAATTAATTAATTAATTAATTAATTAATTATTAAGATAATGTTTAAACTAGATTTGAATGCATGTCTAGTTGTACTATAGACCAGGAAATTGTATATTCTAGGCTTTGTTGAGTTAGTTTAAGCTATAGTAATTAGGGTTTCGAGCCATATGGGGCGAAAACCTATTGTAATTGCTATGTTTACCGCCGTTTTTTTAAGCGCTGTAACTTGCAAAATAATGCTGCGACTGATTTGGCATTTTGCATGCTCATAAAAGGCCATGAGTTGTGGTGCATACCCCCAAACCAGCTATGTAGGTAGAACACAAACCGGAAGTGCTCAATTGCACCACTTTCTGGGGGTCCAGGAATTTCGGGGTTTTTGTCTGGCATCATAGCAATATCATCAATAAAATTTTTAGCGGTCATGTGACCTTGGCCGCCAAATTTGATTTACTTAAAATGACGAAAAACTTTAAATATATTCTCCTTGAAAATGGCTCATTCATGTGATTAGCATTTTGCTTTGCAGCACCTATGGCCATAGCTCTACAAAGTTACTGGAGCAGATTTTTGAAAAATGACTTCCTTTGGCAACCATCTTGGATTTAGTAAAAAGTGAAATTACGCTATAACTCATGAACAATTTGCCAGATTGAAACCAAACTTTGCATACAACATCTCTTCAATACGATGGTTATGTGTTCATGAAAATATTTCCATGATTCAAGTGGTTCTGACGGCCATCTTGAATTTATCAAGAAAAAATAAAAAAACCTCAAAAAATTATCTTCTTAAAAACTGCTTGCTTGTTGGACAAGCAATTTAGAATATGGCACCTATGTTGATAGCTCTACAAAGTTATTGAAGCCGATTTTTGAAAAAAATGGCTTCCTTTGGCAGCCATCGTGGATTAGTAAAAGTGAAATTACGCTATAACTCATGAACAATTTGCCAGATTGAAACCAAAGTTGGCATACAACATCCCTTCAATTAGATGATTATGTGTTCATGAAAATATTTCCCATGATTCAAGTGGGTTTGGCGGCCATCTTGAATTTATAAAAAAATGCAAAACCTCAAAAAATTTTCTTTTAAAAACTACTTGCTTGTTAGACAAGCAATTTAGAATATGGCACCTATGTTGATAGCTCTACAAAGTTACTGAAGCCGATTTTGAAAAATGGCTTCTTTTGGCCATTGACATGCAATTTGGCATATTGTATCTCTGTTAATAGCTTTACAAAGTTACTGAAGTAGATTTTTTTAAAAATGGTTTCCTTTGGCAGCCATCTTGGATTTAGTAAAAAGTGAAATTACGCTATAACTCATGAACAATTTACCAGATTGAAACCAAAGTTGGCATACAACATCTCATCAATACGATGGTTATGTGTTCATGAAAATATTTCCATGATTCAAGTAGTTTTGGCGGCCACCTTGAATTTATAAGCTTGTTTGACATGCAATTTAGCATATAATATCTCTGTTGATAGCTTCACAAAGTTACTGAAACACATTTTTTAAAGAATGGCTTCCTTTGGCAGCCATCTTGGATTTAGTAAAAAGTGAAATTAGGCTATAACTCATGAACAATTTGCCAGATTGAAACCAAAGTTGACATACAACATCCGTTCAATACGATGATTATGTGTTCATGAAAATATTTGCCATGATTCAAGTGCTTTTGGCGGCCATCTTGAATTCATTAAAAAAACTGCCCGCTTGTTTGACAGGCAATTAGGATATGGCACCTATGTTGATAGCTCTACAGTGTTACTGAAACAGATTATTGAAAAATGACTTCCATTGGCAGCCATCTTGGATTTAGTAAAAGAGAAAAAAAGTTCTATAACTCATGAACTATTTGCCAGACTGATACAAAATTCGGTATGTGGAATCCTTGCATTAAGTTTATCATATTCCTGTGAAATCAAATCCATATATTTTGTAGTTTGTCTGCCATCTTGCATTCTAGACATGAAACGTTCGTCAAATAATCACATCAAGCAAGTGCAATTTGCCATGAGCCACGCAGGCTCAAAACCCGTCATCGCTGCTATGCAGCTATATTTATTAGAAGTAGTTAAACATCTTGTATAAATATGAGGTATGCTCTCAAGTTGATGATCTACATGATGAGCAAAAAAAATAGTGTTCAAATAAAAAAAATAGAGAATGACATGTACAAAGTAATATACAAAGAGAATAAATATCCAGGAGTCCAATAGGTGCAATAAGCTCAAATAATGTTTTTGTAAGACTGGGAGGGGTTCCAATAGTTACCCTATATTTCATATTTCAAGACAGTAAGTAATATGCGTAAAATTTAAGAGTTGTAAAACAAAAGAAGAATGGGCCTAGAAAAACTGCGAAGATGTGAGATGATGCCTACTTTAGGACTAACTAATTTAAACAAATTTGTTGATGTGCGATTTTCAATAAATGGAGATCGATAGAAACGCCAAAATAATTAGTAGATAAGACCCCCTCTATCAATTTCCAAGGTGCCCTCCGATCGACTGATTCTTGTAGTGTTACCATGAAATTGGATTTTTCAAAGTAAAGAGCCTTAAGTTGAGTGCGTACTATATCATTAATATAAATTGATTGGGTCTAGAATCGATCCTTGTGCACCCTTTCTGTAAAAGAGTATGAGTGTTGTTGATACTGACACATTTATGATGATTAGAAAAGTAGCTTTTCAATAACTGTAGAGGGAGCCCTAGATGCCGTAGTGCTCTGAGTCACTAATGATGGATAGTGACGAAGGCATTTCTGCGGTCAATAAAGTTACCAAAGGTAAATGAGCCATTGCTGAGTTTTTCAACTATGTCACGATCCACGTCAGCCAGGGGAAGCTTGGTACTATACTTTTTTGCGGAATCAGGATTGTATTTTTATTAAAATCCTGTTTTTATCCAAGAAATGCATGAAATGAATGGTAGTTTTAAAGAGGAAGATCAGATGGAAATTGTAATGGGATATTAATTGTCATATGCTCGACTCGATAATGTATTATTATTATACATCTGTCACCGTAACGCCATAGGTTACAGTGTGCCCTAGTTTTGCGGTATTTTCCGGGGTATTTTCATCCTATCATATTAGGAAATGTGAATTCAAAATATGGAATGATTAGGCGCGTAAGCGTCCTCTAATAAATAAATAAATAAAAATAAACATGGCTGTCACCACTGACTTGGTTTGATTGGACTCCACACAAAGTAGTTCGCTGATTCTGTTCTAAAGTTTTTGGATTTCGGCATACCCATGATGTATCCTTGAAAGGAAAAAAATGTATAATAATAAGATTATTATGAGTATACCTCAAATTATGCACTCAAACAGTACGCTGTCGCATCGACCTCTGCGCGATACTTCCGCTGTACCGTCTTCGTGCATATTTTGAGATATACTCGTAATAACCTTATAATATTATAACGTTCGTAATGAGAACATTATCAATAATAATTCGCACTCCCATCGCTATGTTTGGAACACGCGCAATGGCTCAATCGCACCGGTGAACTACATTCATTTCCGTGATCATCGAGAATAATTATGTTCTCGCAATAAAATTTACATCCTCGCGTCTCGCGAGATAAAATACCCCAACATTCTTAGTCGTAAACGTTTACCTCATTAATTGATTTTACTATACGAGACTTTTCATAGCAGCAAATTACAACCGGAATATGATCGTAAACGCGCCACTCCATGTAAACGAAACCTTTGCTTGGTGTGTTCGTTGACGGCACGGCGTCACAGCGATCAGTTGGAGGGTATGGATCACAGATGTGTACTGACTTTAGCACTTGTTTATATAAGTGGTAAGTTTAACGCAATCTTTCTGTATTTAAATATCTTTGTCAGCAGTATACATAAAACACTCAAACATGACCCCATTAGTCATCAGCGAAATGCAAACTAGGTCAGACTATATAATCCAGAGAAATTGCAAATCAAAATGAAGAATAATTCATCAATGGACGGAAGTTGTGTATGAATTTAATATTAATATTATTGACGGATTTATATTAGCAGTCACAACACAGGTCACCCAAAAGCTACATGGAACCTCGTTTCATCGATGCATTGATATAATAAATAATAAACCTAATAACTGAAGAAAACCAACCAAGATTAATAAATAATATTCTATGGTCATTTACAATGTATTATATTTTCATCCTAATTTAAACATACATAATCTGACATAGAACATCCGTCATGTGTATTCGGGTTAATATTTGATAGATTGATTTAATCATCAACAGGAGTTTAGTTGTCAGATATGCCATGGAGTCCACGTTAAGTGTTTATACTACACACATGTAAAGTGTGTGCCATTTGAATTAGTCAAATGTTATATGCAACGGAATTTTGGCAACTAAAACGTCGTTACTATTGAAACATTTATCAGTGCCTATGGGTAAAACGTTGAAACATGAGTGATTAATATTTAGATGTTAGGCCTTGTTCTTGATGAAACTGTTCACAATATAGATATCTTGAAAATGGTTAGCGACCTGCTTATTTTAGATAATTTAATTCTTCCATTGCTTGTCACATTTGTAGCTGTGAAATACAATAAATTATACGATTGTCAGATTCATTGCAGTCCAATCCATGCATCAACCACTTGACGATGAATGAGCCTAAGAGAAGCACAGCCTATGTAGCCGACCAAACGAAGAACGACCTACTCAGCGATCACGATTTATATCAAGATTGGTACAGGTTTGTCAGTGCCGCAGGCGGTGAAATGACGACCTGGTCAGACGTACCAAGATATATTCCCGGGACAGAGATACCATTATATCTAAACGGCACGCACCCGTCCGTTGAAGACGGCGTCGTAAGCCGAACGGTGTGTGGAAATTACGTGGACAGTCTTATGTGCCATAAACAGTACGTGATACAAATTAAAAACTGTTCATCATACTACGTATATTTTCTGACAAGACCAACGGGATTAGCAGAAGCTTATTGCGCAGGTAAAATGATCTTCTTTTTCTTTCTTCTTTTATTGCTGGGAAGGGATTGACCAGCTTTGTTATTAGTCCAAGAAAATTGTTCAGCTTGGAATGTGTCTGAATCCCTTATAAGTATGCAAGAATGTAGGAATGTACCAAGAAAATTGTTTTTCTGGAGTAAATTGTAGTGTATTTTATTTATGAAAAGTCAAAAAGTGGATGGAGATTCTATGAAAATGTGTGGATGTTAACAGAATGATGTCGTGTGGTCACAGTTGCGCAATAAATGATGAACTATTTTGGGCGTAGCTATAAAATGTGTCACCGAAGTACTCACACGTGTGCATGATTCCAATAGTTTGTGCTGTGAAGAAACTCCACAAGAAAATAAGTATTGTGTAATTTGTAATGAGAATGTATTCAAATAGAAAAATGTTTATGAATCTTGTTTCTTTTCAAAGTGTATTTATATAATAACAATTGTTTATAACAATGTTTTTTTTTATACTTTTTCGATGGATTGAATTTACAAATGATGAGTAATTAAGTAGTTAAGGCTTTGTGTTCTTGCGAACGGGAAGACATTAAGGTCTCATGCCACTAATCAATTTAAATGCCTAGCAAGAACCAATGAAATCTTTTAAATATTTTTTTTCTCAGGTGCTCCCTGTTTGAGGGCGTAATCACCTGGGTCAGAGGTGAGACCAACATGTGATCTTTTGTTTACTATTTAGCGGCTGTGTACCCGTGGGTATTTGGATGTTCTAATCTTGGTGTTTTTTCCAGTGATTTCTCTTGGTGCAATCCAAATACAGTAGGTGTGTCTTGTTTACCTGAGATTTGCAAGAGTTTGAGCTGGCCAACATGTTAGTTTTTTCATATGGTTGATTACTGGCATGTTGATTTCCCATTTTTGAGCCATATTTTCAACTTTCTTCGTCATTTTCATATAGCAATCTCGTCATATGTTAACATTGTCGTCTATGGAAATTCAATTAGTGGTATGAGCCCTGAAACTGTTTACAGTGGACGTCGATAAAAGCGAACGTATTTCAAAAGTTGTGAAATCATGGTACTGTTTTGGCATTATACGACTTGCAGTACCCTTTTGATGGATTTTATGTGACTGGCCGTGTTATCGAACTGTAGTTTTATGTAAATCTGCCCGGGAAAATCTACAAGCAAAGTTTAAATTGCCATTTTCACGCTGCGTATAGCGTGGAGTCGTCATCTAAGTATGCACAATTGTTTGTCTCGTGTTCCCCGGTGCATTTAAAAATCTATTTTGAATTTGGGGGACTTTGTGTGACTGACCGTGGTGTTTGTAAACTTTATTCGAACTGTATTAGTGTGTATTAAATTACGTTTGTGTTTCAACGAGGACTGAAAAGTGATTTCCATTTACTTCGTCTGTTATAAATCAACTGTATTAGCTTCCTTCGAACTTCCTATTGCCATCGGGATTATGTCTACTACACTCGGCGGTGTAGTTCGTATCGATCTTCTTGTATGAAACGCACCCGAACCCGGAAATCGACGGCAAATCGGATGGTCTCGTCACGTAATTTCTTACCTTGTTCTTGACCGCAGTACGCTTGGCTATGAACATCCACATACCCACGCTTAAGGGAATAGTGCATCGTGAGTATTACTGCATTGATCGAGGAGAAACAAACTTGGCTGCCGTAATGCCTGTTGTTCGAATACATCGCTCGTGTTTCTCTTTCTGTCTTAGAGTTTTCTGCTTTCTTTGATTTTTTTATATCAATTAAACAGCGATTTGGCTGTGAACATGCATTTAGTCATTGTCGACTGTTTTTCTCGAATTGGTTGATTGTCATAATAACATTCGCTAAGTACAATTAAACGTCCGGAGTTGAACAGTAGTCATTTCTAACATGATTATTTAATTTAGTTTAATTCCTTCAGTTGAAAATTGAGTTTCTATAATAAATAAAAAATAATACGTACCCTCATGTATACTTCAAGTTTTCATTAAAACAAAGTCAAAGTTTTTGGAATTGCTTTCTGCCAATCCATTGCTCCCAAACACACCTTTAAATACTCTTATTTTCCCAGCATCGAGATGGCTCTGCCAACTCTTGTATGTATTCTATCTTTACAATGTATTCGGCTTAAGCTGGCGATTATTTTTCCATATACATAGATACTTCATTAAATATACTATCAAAAACCGCCGACAACTATAAAAATACTGTGTGATATTAGTTGAGAGACTTGCGTTGGAATATTTGGCTTTTTTAACTGATAGGTGACATAACACGGGCGATAGCAAATAACCCAAATACATACGCCATAGCTACAAAACAAACATGCCAACGTGTCAATTCCAGGGTATTGGATTGTTATATTATAATTATCGTCTTTTTCTTTCTTCTTTCACATATCTTCTATCTAGTGGTGATGATTGTTTTTCTACAAAGTGTAACGTAGATATATCATTAAATATACTATCAATAACCGCCGACAACTATAAAAATACTCTGTGATATTAGTTGAGAAACCTTGGAATATTTAGCTTGTTTCACTGATAGATGGCATAAGCGACCAATAGCAAATAAGCCAAACACATACGCCATAGCTACAATACAGACATGCCAACACCCATGTCGGTGGGATCTCACATCATCGCATGTACTAATTCCAGGGTACATGTTACCGATATTGTACTGGGGTGTGTCCTTAATATGTCGATAATAATTTACATGATTTTTATATTATTTTTCAAAAATAATAGTATTTGATTGGCATAAAGCGAATATTGCTCTATCACATTTCCCTCGTTATAATGCAGGTACTGAACTACAGTGTCAGTCTGGGTACATCTCTGTTAACGGCAACTTCACTCCTGGCTGTGAAGGTAAGACGTAATTCAGGGAATAATGTGATCCTGACTTTGAATGTAGAAGACACATCCGGAATTGTTTCAATGTTGGATGTGAAAGTACTAGGCAATACTGTTTCAGTCAGGATTTGAAAATAATATACCGACCAGAAATTGAGTCATTTTAGACAATAACGGAAAAAGAGCAATTAGAAAGTGCTTCATTCATCCTTGGGAATGCCAAATTGGAGATATATATGCAATTCCACTCTGCAAAGCTGAAGTACTGGTTATGCATTGTTATGAAGGTAATATCAACGCAAAATACAAGACCAACCTTATTACATAATTAGGTGTAATATAATATAAGAGTATTACACTGTATAACCAATTTGGCTGTTATGTTTATATTTGATTTGTTTTCATATCATTGTATTTTATTTTTAGATTTAAACGAATGTATTACGAGTTACCACTCCTGTGAACATACCTGTGTAAACACCAATGGTTCGTACTACTGCGACTGCGTGGATGGATATACGCTGGATTTCAATAGTTGGTGGTGTTCGCCGACAACGACTATGTCAACAAACATGACACCTGTTTTTACCACTTCCACGAGCTCGACTGTTGAATCGTACATGTCTATATAACTTGCAGCATGATTCGCATTGTTGTATTCATCATATGTTCACGCTATGTGCTTTGAACTCGTTCTCTGTATCTTGAAATTATGGATTTCAGGAGAGATTATTTGGTAACACGTTTTGCGGAGCTGTGTATGTTGTATGCCCGTTTAACTACCATTCGTTGATTAGATAGGTTTAGAAAAACTGAAAATTGTTAGGTTTGGTAAAACGTTTGTTTTCTTTAATTTTCTTAGGTTTTTATGTTATAACTGGTCAACTGCCGTTCATTAGGGGCGTGTGAGTACATTTTAAACTGAGCTGAACACGTTTTAGGGTTAGTTTGGTAAAACAGTATTTTTCTGCAATTTCTGAAAGATATCCATGTATTATGGATGACCAACTGCCATTTATTAAGTATGTAGAGATTGTGATTGATAAATAAAAAAAAATATATCTAATTCAACGTCTGTATTTAATATGTGTAGATGATTGTGTGGCTGACTGAATATTTAGTCATTACTAATAGTGTACATTGGGAAAATGTAATGATTTTGTGTTAATGATACAATTGCAAAGGGCATAACTTAATCTCTGCCGACAAAAAATGTCATTATTGTATTAGCACCTGGTGTGCTACTTCCCGTTTTGAGGTTAAATAAGCATGTCTATATACAGGGTAGAAACCCGG